ACTGAATGTCTTTTAAATTCTCTAAGTGCAGAAACTATCTTTTGTGTTCCACACAGCTCATTGTGGATCACATGATACATGTTTAGGAATTTGGTAAATGTAACTAAATTTAAAATCAAAGTTCTAACTCATAAAATTATAGAAAAGTAACCATTAGTCATGATATTTAAAGAAGAGTTAGGCGAAAAGCTCCAATTTATTTTGTTTAATAATTAGAATTGTGATAAAGAATTAATTCTGAGATTTAAATGAGAATTATCAGCCAAATTCCTGATTTGGTGGGAAGAGGAATGTTTCTCAGTCTTTGATTCATAAAACAATACCTAATAGAGCCTTTGAAATACTACAGCAAACTATAATTTTACATAAATTGTAGGTCCTCAAATAAAACAAACTTGGTTATAAACATTGCTTTACAATGGTCAACATTTGGGCACTTTGTTATTTAAAAGAATTCTAAGGCCTGGAAGAATAACTCAAGGGGTAGAATACCTGCTCAGCAGGCATGAAACCCTGAGGAGTTCAGAACTCCACAATTATAATAAAAGAATTCTAAGATTATTCTTTGAATTAAAGAAATTAAAAATTCCTTTACCTTACACATCAAGTTAATATGCTTTTGGGGGAAATATACACTTATTGTTTGCGAATGTTACCTGCCCATTCTCTGCCTTTATTCTTCTTTCTCCTATGCATTCTTTGTTATTTTTATCTTTTAGTGCCAGTACTGGGCTTGAACTCAGAATGCTATCCTTAGCTTTTTCATTCAAGAATGGCACTCTACCACTTGAGCCACAGTTCCAATTCTGTCTTTTTGGTTGTTAACTAGAGAAAAGAGTCTAACAGACTTTCCTACCTAAGTTGGCTTTGAACTGCAATCCTCAGATCTCAGCCTCCTTGGTAGTTTAGGAATACTGGTACAAGTCACCAGCTCCTGGCTTCCTGTGTATTCCAATTTTGAGCAAAAACAAATTTTCCATCCTATGATGTCTGCACTGAAGGACTACAGAGTAACAGTCCACCATCTGCAGACTAGAAAAACAGAGGTTAAACTGTGCTTACATCCTATCTTCTCACATCTCTGTCCCAGCTTTCCAGTTATCCTTATCAAGACTTCAGAGACTCTGCCCCGGAATTCTAATAATCCAGAGAGGACACATTTATAGTGCGGCTGTTGTCAGTTTACCTACGAACAAAGTTATATCCCTATATAAGTCAGTTTCTCCTTACTACACCCCCAACTATGGCAGTAAAATGTGAAAATGAGGAGGGATGGAATTATGCAAATAATTATAGCATCTGGCACTGAAACTGTTGAATCATGATAGCCAACAATTCTGTTATAGGTCCTCTATCTTCTTGTAAGTACAAAGTACTTTAAGCTTCCTCACTGGGTCAATTCTCTTTTTTTCCTCTCTATCCAATGATTATTCTAAAGAGTTGGCCCATATAGGGCCAAAACAGATCAAAGCCAATGGATCTAAGTCATTCATTTATGTGTACATTAATATTTATGTCTCTAAGTTCCTGGCTATTCTGCAGTGAGCAAAACAGATAGGATCTATGCTCTGAGAAGCATATATCCTAAAAAACAGAAAATATGACATTTGCTTCTTTGAAATAACTAACTGGGATGGGGATTTAGCTTGGTAATATAGCACCTGATGAACAGGCACCAAGGCTCTGGGTTCCAGAGTTCTACTCCCAACAATACACACACAATCACAAAAACAGGACAATTTATTATTGTAATATCTATCAGGAGCAGGGAAATTTATAATTGATGTATATAATATATCATGGGCATATGCTTTTCTAAAACTCCTTCTAAATAAGTTCTCATTAATCTCATTGCCTGTTTTTCCCCCTGAACCCAACCAACCCAAACTTATGTAACAGCTTTTTTTAAAACTGCTTTCTACTTTCTGAGAAAAATAAACATATGATAGGAAAGCTAAAGGAAATCTGTTTCACAAAGCTCCCAGTTCCTCTAAGAGGATCCCTGTGCATCAGTGCAGATTGTCTACAACTACAATTCTACACATAAGAGGTACACATATTTTTTTTTCAGTCTGCACTGCTTCCTAAATAAAGTTAACCTGTGAAATGATACTTCTGGAAAGTCTCATTTCTGGAAACTTTGCTGGGTTTGGATATAGAAAGGTGCCTTTAGAAACAAGGGGGAAAGTTAAATGGTTTTACATAACAAAATATTTTTAGACTAGGGAGCAGGGGTAGGAAGCAAGAAGAAAGAAGAGTGGGAGAAGCCAATCTAGTTACCACCTTTTCTTTTCTCAATAGTTTTCCTCCCCTTCCCCCAATTTTTCCATAGAGTTTACAACACTTCTCTGTACAAAGACTTTACATAAACTCTTTTTCAGAGTCCATTGTTTCCTAACTCCTAAATACATTCAACAACTGCATCAAAGACATCTCAACTATTCATGCAGCACTCCACTGGTTTGGTCCCAAATTGAACTTATTTTCCTTTCTCTGTCTCTAATGACAATTATTTTTAACTATTCCTGACAGCCTCCAACATTCCACTAAGTCACTAATATCATCACCATGAAAGGAACAACTAATATTTATTGAGCACTTGTGACACACCAAGTACTGTGCCAAAGGCATTACATGCATAATTTCACCTGATCCTTAAACCCTACTAAACAAGTATTATGACTATTTCCTAAATATTAGGGATTCAACAATCTCATGGTCATAGTCATTCTAAGGGTAAATGAAAGAATTAGAATTTAACCCATTCTGACTCCACAGCCAACTTAACTGGTATACATGCTGCATGTGCTATGCCCCATCATCCCTCTCATTAATCCTTTCTAGTCACTTACTAGTTTAGCTTCCCAGTCATAACCTCCTAAATGCCTCATCATCTCTCTTCCCACTGCCTTCACACAGGACAGCACTAAGCCTTTACTATATATCAGGCATTATTCTAAAACCTTATGAGATGAAAAAACCTAAAGAGAAAAGAGGACAAAGACTGTTCAAAACCAGATAACCTAAATAAGAGATCCTTAAGCACTTCCCTCTACCTGTGACAGCCATCAACTTTGTCTCCCTACCTCCCTTCTAGAACCCCACCATCTTCCAGACTGCTGGAGATATCTTTCTGGAATGTAGATGTTATCGTGACATTCTCCTGCTTAAAATTGGCAGCTCTGTCACTTGACTGGCTCAAGTCCAAATGTCTATACAAAATACTTCATTTTTTTTCTCTAGTCAGTTCAATAAATATCTGAACACCTACCGAAGGCAAGGCAGAGTGCCATGTGCTCTCATATGGGTATCAGTAGTCCCTGACTATTTCAGCCCAGACCCTGAGTGCCAGACAAGCCAGATGTAGATCTGGCAATACCCTAAAGACCTATGCATATAGAATGTGCCTGGCAAAATTCCACATCAATCTGAAGAGTGGCTATGTGAGACATTCTCTAACAAAGCCCAGGCAGAAAAATAATCTTTCATGTTCCCACAGCACTTTGAACACAAACTACTTTTAAAGGTAATTAGTAGAATCAGCTTTCGTAAGGGACTCTGAGCAACTAGGGGCAAAAAGTGACCCTGGCACGCAGGAGGCACTTTATGAGTGGCTAAATAGTTAATGAAGCCATTATAAATTTGGTAAGAAGAACTAGACACAGAATAAGAGAATGTTAATACAGAAGCTGGTTGGCATGCAAGTAATGTCATTCTACTGTGGTTCTAGTGTGGCCTGCATTTTACTCTTGTGGGAAAACTCACATGTGGGACTTGGGGCAGGCTAAAAAGGCAAAAAATGTTATTCCTGGCGCAACAAAGCTTTGACAAGCCAAACAGGACACTAGATCCCCACTTCCTCACTTCCTTCTTTACCTGCCAAAATCCTTTCTCTAAATGTGTAGGGGAGAGGGGAATCAAATCTATCAAAGTAAAAAGAATTAAATTGATCTTCTCAGATCCAACTTCATCAGTGCTGTGTCACAGTACACACAAGAGAAAAATCAAAATCTGTCCTGGGAAGAAGGCCAATTTCCAAGTAAGAACTGCTGCTACAAGAATGTGAAATTTTTAAAGCGAAGGCAGTTCCAATAAACTAGAGCTCACAACTGTTTGCTCCAACTGCACTTACCAGGGGCTCCACTTGGTTTCATTTCTCAAGTCCTGTGTTGGTTTTGTTTTATTTTGTTTTTTAAAGTCATGCCCATGCCCAGATGTACTTTGGATCCTAGCAGAAAACAAATGTCTAGATCCATAATATTAAATGTAAGCTGAAGCACACACACACACAAAAATCTTACGTGTCACACACAATCAAATCCTTATCTAAAACGCGTGGCACAAAGGTTTGAAAAGCAGTGATGAATTTCCCGAGTGGTGCTTTGTGTGCAAACGCTTCCAAATCATGATCTACATGTTGAAATTTACTCCTGGGAAGATGTCAATCTCTCTCCCACTCTCTTTCAGCCTAGGAAAAAGAATTTTCAGGCAACCGTCTGGGACGATCAGACTGTCTCCCCATCCCTTCCAAAGAGAACAAAATCCAAGGCGAAGGCACCTAGCGCCACTCATTCCTAAATACACACACACATATGCAAAAAGAAATGTTAAAGACACTCATCCCACCGCTCCTCTTCCCTGAAAATCAAACGACGCCAAGATCTGCAACCAGCGGCCGGAACCACTAATACTAACAGCCAGGCCGCCCACCCCACCCCACCCCACCCCACCCCGTCCGCCCTCCACGCGCCGACCGACGGCGGCGGGCACAGGGCGCATGGTAGCGCCGCTTCCAGCCTGGCACCCGGTCCACGCGGCCCCCCGCAGCCCGGGAGAGCCAGACGAACCGCGGAGGTCGGCGGCTCCAGGCGGGCAGCGGCGCCGCTCCGGCCGCCTCCTGGGGCGCGGCGCTGCCCCACACCCCGCCGCCGCCCGCACCTGAGGCGGCTGCTCGCAGCCGGCGAGAGGGTAGCGCGGAGCGGACGGGCAAAGTTACTCACCGGGAAGCCGCGGCTGCCCGGGGCGCACACCGCTCACGGTACCGCAGCCCAGGGCCGGCTCCCGCTCTCCGGGACTCGCGGAGGGAGAGCCAAGAGCCAGCCCGGAGGCTCCGCTCTGCCGGGACTCGCCGCCGCCGCCGCGGATTTCCTGGCAAGAAGCAAACTCTGGCCAAGACTTCACTTCTCAACCGCCCCTGCTGCCTTCCCGGGGGCGAGCGCCGGAGCCAAGGGGCCCAACCCGACACGGACCTGGACCAATAGACAGCGGCGTAGGGCGGGACAGAGGCGGCTTCGCCTATCTGAGCGCTCAGGGGGCGGGCCGTCACTCCGGAGTTAGAGTGAGCCAACTCCGCCCCTCGCCCCTGCCCTCCCCCACCGCTCTGGGCTGTCCCCGCCGCTCGCCTGATTCCTGTAGCTGAAGAAGCTCCAGAAGTGTCTACGCACAGCCGCGACCGCCGCGGGGAGGTTGGAACAGCTGTGTGGAGAAGGATGAAGGGGCCTGTGGAGGGGAGACAGCTACGGGAGCCTGGGGTAGAGTAGGGGAGAACAGGTGGCGTAGGAAAGCAGAAATGTAGGTGTGTTGGGAGAGATGACAGCTGGAGTAGGACAGGGACGGGCTGGTCGGGGGTCAAGAAGGGCGGGGAAGGAGGATAGGCTGATCACCGGGGATGAGCACTTGCAGGGATGGAGAGGGCAGGTCCTAAGGAGGTCGCCGAGCGCGGCGGGTGGGGAAAGGTGGCCGCGGGGCTGAGGCACCTGCAGGAAAAGGTGAGAGGGAGGTCCGGCTGGTGCAGATTCGAGGAGCCCACAGCGAGGAGGACGTGCTCCAGGAAGGGGAAGGTTCAGAGCAGGGAAAGAAGGCAATGGGGAGAGATGGGTGTGCTTTCCTCCCAAACTCTTGCTCTGTTCCCCGAAGCTGCCGTTCGGCCCAGTAGAGAGGTCCAGCTTCAGGAATCTCAGTGAAATCAATACCACCTGAAAACAGCATTGTTAGTTAATGCATCTTCTCGCAAATAGCCCTCTCCTTTAGCAAGGTGTATGGCTCAACTATAACCTGAGGCTGGTGTCCCACGAATGACAGGTTCCTTAAAAGACTCGGATCCTAGGAAGTGCCAATCTGAGGGTACCACCGTCCCCCAGGGCTCCAGCAAGCAAGTCAGAAACAGGCCCGACTCCAAATTTAAGGAGGAAGGTGATTTGGGAAGCGGCAGGTGAGGCTCCGCCCCTTTCGCTACCACCTGAGAAAGGTACGGGAGACTTGAGTCCCCAAGCCTATACAAGCCAGAAAGTCTGCGCCCCGGATGGGGGATGTGGGGGATGTGGGGTGGTGTAGGGGGTGGGGCTGGACCCCGGATCCTCCGCGCCCACGTGGGGTCTGGCTGGCTGCCCCCCGCCGCGCCGCGCGCGCACCTTCTTGCGCGCCGGGGGCGGAGCTTAAGGCGGGGCCTCTACGCCCCGCCCCTCCGCTGGGCCCTGCCGCGCCGCTGCGGCTCCGCCCCGCTTCTTCCGTCTTCCGCTCCTTCGGTGGGTCGTTCATCCTTCCTGCTTCTCCCGCACGTTTGGTGTTATGGCACAGAGCCTCCTTTCCTTTCGTACCACCTGAGGACCCAGGAAATCGCCCCCGCGATGGAAGAGGACCAGGAGCTGGAGAGGTAACGGCCAAAGAGGCAGGTGGGAGCGGAGCGGGGCGGCGAGGGGGGGTGGGGAGGAGAGGAGTCGCGCCGGGTGAGGACCGCGGGTGGCGGAGGGGCACGCGGCCTGGCTCGGCCTGGCTGGAAGGCCTGCTCGCGTAGGCGTTGAGAAGGGGGGAAGGGAGGGGAGGAGCGTGGCTGAATGGGGAGAAGCAGGGGGTAGATAGGGATGAGTATACCGAGGGATATTCCCCAGGGCCCTTTAGTTATGGGGAGTGGGGGGGAATACAAACTGAGCCGCCAGAGTTAAGTCCCAAGCTGCCCAACCCCATTAGAACTGCCTGGTGTAAGGTCCCACACCGTGCCAGGGGCACCTTGGCATGTTGAGTTTAGCCTTAGTCTCTTTAACTACCGCTTATGGTCCTGTTTTGTACAGCTGGCTGTAAAGCTTCTCTTCGCTGAGTTATTTTTCTCCCTCTTGTTAGACTCTGGTTCACATCTTCCACGTTCTTGCAGTGTTTACCTCTTGCAAATGAAAACAGTAGTTGATGATCTGTAGTGTCTGTTTTCGTACTGAAGTCCTCTGTGTTCTTCTATGCCTAGCCACTAACTCCCCCTTCACCTTCCAGCAGGGCCCACCTTTTCTAATCCGTTCTACTCTACTAAAATAATCCGACTCTACTAAAATAATAGTTTTGCAAATATTTAAGGTTTTCTGAGAAGATTCCCCTGTGGCCCACGTGGGTAGTCAAACGGATTAGGGAGGAATTGGAGGTGGTTAAGTTTCTAATGGGTAGAGGCAGGAAAATGAGAGGCTTATCTAATTGAAATGGATTAGAGTAATGTGTCCCAATTACGATTTAATATATGAAAAAAAGATAGCTACAATATCGAGTATTATCTCATTTTTATAAAAACTATGTGTGTAGAAAAATGTCTGGATTGAAGACCTCAATGGCTGAAGGCGAGAGGAAGACAGCCCTGGAAATGGTCCAGGCAGCTGGATCAGATAGACACTGTGTGACATTTGTATTGCACGAGGAAGATCATACCTTAGGAAATTCTCTACGTTATATGATCATGAAGAACCCAGAAGTGGAATTTTGTGGTTATACTACAACCCATCCTTCAGAGAGCAAAATTAATTTGCGCATTCAGACTCGAGGTGCTCTGCCAGCTGTTGAGCCATTTCAGAAAGGCTTGAATGAGCTCATGAATGTCTGCCAGCACGTACTTGACAAGTTTGAGGCCAGCATAAAGGACTATAAGAATCAAAAGGCAAGCAAAAATGAATCCACATTCTAGTCCCTTTTGCAGAATACAAGGGGGACTATCCTCATGGTCATGCAGAACCCAGAATTAGAAGTTTATGATTGCAGCATGCTCTAGCCTTCAGAAAGATGTGATTCTATAGCTGTTGCGCAATTGAAGCTGTTGGAATCTCTTCAAGAACCTGTGTATTCACCTAATAAATTCCCTCTTTTCTTTAAAGTAGTTTGAGTGGTTTCTATTCCTTGCAACCAATGATCCTCAAAGATTACTGGTTCCCCCCTTCTTAATTGAGCCAATATTGAAATGAGGAAACTGAGAAAAGAGCCAATAAAAGTGATCTTGGGAAATAAAAGTAATCATTCCTGTCTGTTGGGCTGGTGGTAAAAGGGGAGGTACAGTTGAATAGACTAGTTTGTTTTAAAAACAGGGAAAGAAGGTTGGAATGAGGACTTGTCTTGATAGACATCATTTTTAGTAATGAGAATTATGTCCATTGTTGTGATTGGTTGATGGGGCACAGATGAAATAATTTGAAAGAGTTTTGAGAATTCTGGTTTTGTGTCGGAGTTTTAGATGGTGTCAAGCTCCATCTTTGTGGCATTTATAGGCTAGATATCAGGTTAATGGTTGAATTCAGGACACTAATGAAATATTTAGTCATTACCTGAATAAGCCAAAACATTTTGATTTTTTTTGTTTGGGGATTTTTTTGATGGAGAATATTGGGGTAGCCAAGTAACATTTTCAGTTACTAGGTACATGTCTTTAGTATAGCCTAGGGTTACAGAGAAGCCACATTATTTGAAAGTAAGGACAAGAAGGAAAATAATTTGTGGGAGAAACATTCGTGAATCACATCAAAGAGCTTCTTCAACCTTGTTTCATAACTATCCTATCACCCTAAATACTTGTTAAACCTTAAGCCCAAGCACACCCTTCCCCCCTTCTGTGCTTTGAGCCTTGATGCACTTCCTCTTCTTGGAGCATTTTACTGTTAGGTAAATTAAATAGGTAGATTTGATTAAGTAGCCAATAAAGAGAACACCATGTGGTAATCAGGCAGGAAGAGAAGTTTATTGTATTACAGAACTGCTGCCCCACCATGCATGGTGCAGAAGTACAAGGCCAAAGGAGGAGCTAGGGTCCTGCCTGGGTTTAAGTGGGGAAGGGGGAAGGGAGATGGATGTGGATGTGACCTCAGGGCTCTGGACCCTCCCTCAGTCTGATGGAGTTATGACAGTGGGCAGCCCAGGGTGTGACCAAGGTTAGGGAGGTGACTGCCTTCAGGTGTGGCAGTTACCCAGGTACTGGGTGGAGATTGTTCGGCCTTCCTGGGGCAGACCTTATATTTACTACCAAACTTAATTTCTGACTTGCCAGCCAAGTGTTGGTACTTCTACGTGATGTGATTACATTCTGTCTTTCCTAATTATGCTATTTACTGTGCTCTTGTTAGTGCTTACATTGTCTATCGCTATACTAACTGGCTTATTGATGTGGTTCTGGTACCTATAAATAACAGTATTTGACAGTATTAGGCACTTAGTAAATACTAAATAAACCTATGTAGGTAAGGCATTTAGCCTTGCAGTCACTGAGATTTGGCCTCTTATTCTGTGTAAAGCCTACTTTATCCATGTTCTCTCCACTTATTTAAAAAAAAAAAAAATTGATGCCAGCCACAGCAGTTCATGCCTGTAAGCAAGGCTAACCTAGCAAAAAGGTAAACCGTACTATTTCAGTTGTGATCCCAGTATGTAGGTAAGTAGGATTGCGGTCTGAGGATGACCAAGAGCAAAAACTTAAGACACTAACTGAAAAATAAGTAAGAGAGATCTAGGACTGTGACTCAACTGGTAAAACATCTGCCTAACAAAGAGTTCCTGAGTCTAAACCCTAATACCATCAAAAAGAAAAAACAAAGTATTTCTGTGCTATTGAGTCTTTAATTTGTACAAGACCTTGAGGATAGGTATTGTAGTGGGTAAGGACCATCTACATTGTAGGAGGAACATGGTTCAAGATAGAATCTATTTTGGGCACAAAAGTTAGGGAAGATCTTCCTAGTATTATAGGAAAAGAAGGACCTGGCTGTGTGGTGTGAACAGAAAATGCATGTTGGAGGATATGTATGCACAAAGGTCCTAAATAAAATCATATTTTGAGGAACTGAAGATGGGATAGAGCTGCTTAGTGTACTAAGCAAAGAGAACTCTCAGGTTCATGCAACACACTTTCAGAGAGGTGAAAAGAGAAAACAGGGCAGGGGAGATAGGATAAGCAAGAGTCTCATGTGTAGAAAGAATGGTTGCATGAAGTCTGTGGGGAAGGATGAATTGGTCTAAGAAAGGGGAAGGGAGATGAGCATGAATCATACTTATAAAACAAAAAAGTCACTTGGTCACTATCTGATTTGCTCTATAATAAATTTGATTTGCTCAAAATAAATGATTCAAAATCAGAAATTCTGTTCAGCTTTAAAAGTACCTTTAAAGAGCCAATCATTAAAGAATATGATTATATACCAAAGGCTTTTAATGCACAATAATTCTGAGTACTTACCTAGCACTTTCCATTTTCAAAGCACTTTATAAACTAGTTATTTATAAATTGCAGATAGCCATAACATCTAAGTGCTCTTAATTAATTGGCATAAAACAAGTTCATGAAAAAAAAAAAACTGTAGAGATGAACAGGTATCTGCATAAGAAGTGGTCTGTGCAAGCCAGGCGAGGGTGGCTCACACCTGTAATCCTAGCTACTCAGGAGGCCGAGAACTGAGGATCGAGGTTCAAAGCCAGCCCGGGCAGAAAAGTCCGTGAGATTATTATCTCCAATAAACCACTAGAAAACCGGAAGTAGTGCTGTGGCTCCAGCGGTAGAGCACTCGAGCTGAAGAGCGCAGGGACAGCACCCAAGCCCAGAGTTCAAACCCCATGGCTGACCAAAAAAAAAGTTATCTGTGCAGTACTGATCTGAAGTATCTTACCTTCTAAGAATACGAAGTCATTTCAGGTTCCATGGCCCACAATTTCCCACCCTTATTTTCATTTCCCTTAAACATGTTAATAAGATAATCTTCAGATCACTAATTAAAAGGATCTTTTTGGTTAAGATCATTTTAAACAGGTCTTTATAACATCCTTCAAACTGGGATCCCAGGGTATTTTACTCAAACCTACCAGTCTGTTTTCAAAGATGTATTCTAAATCTTAGCCCTTTGCTGTTCAGATTGGTTTTCTAGTGGTTAACTGGAGATAAGAGTCTCACGGACTTTTCTGTGGGGCTGGCTTTGAACCATGATCCTGAGATCTCTGCCTACTCAGTAGCTAGGATTACAGGTGTGAGCCACCGGTGCCCAGCCAGATTTTTTTTTTTAAGACGAATTTAGAAGCTAGGCACTGATGGCTCATGCCTGTAATTCTAGCTACTCGAGAGGCTGAGATCTGAGGATCACAGTTTGAAGCCAGCCTGAGTAGGAAAGTCAATAAGACTCTTCTCTCCACTAAACTACTGGGAAAAGCTGGAAGTGGAGCTGTGGTTCAAATGGTAGAGCACTAGCCTTGAGCAAGAAGGTCAAGGACAGAGCCCTGGTCCTGGTTCAAGCCCCAGTATTGGCACACACACACACAAAAAAGTTATTCAGCAATGAAAATTTTGAGTAAAAAGAATAAATTTGATAGTTCTAAAGTGTGTATGTGGAACTTAGTACCTAACTTTATATTACTGTAATTACTTTTATGTATTTA